CAGTACCAGGCAGTCTGAAGACTGTCTCCCAGTCCACTCTCTAAACGCTGGGAGGAGTGAGGAAGCAGACAGGCACCCTTTTCACTGGCCAACAGTTAACTGAAAGTTCAAATTTTGCACTTTCCCTGCCTCCCACGTGGTTTTTTTTCAGTTCTTAACTCAAATCTAAGTACTTAAGTCAATATTTTCCTATGCGAGCGGTTCTTAAGTCAAAATGTTCTTAACTCGAGCCGTTCTTAAGTCAAGACCCCACTGTACATAGATTAATTCGTGAATATCTTCAGTATTTAATCATTCCTCAGAAGTTCCCCAAACTACACATTCTATTAATCTCTCTGACTCTACTCTAATTGACTCAATCTGACTTAAACTCTACACACTGACTTGAACTCTATTAATCTCACACTCTGACTGAACAATTGACTCAGGCTCTGCCTCTTATAGTATCTGTCTTGGCTCCGCCTTTCAGCAACATGAATATTCATGAGGACTCAGCATCGGGTGAAAGGGAGCCGATTTCTCCCTGGCCGCCCGGCTTGCTTTTCCAAACGAGAAGCAAGCCGGCTGGCGAGGGAGGAATCGGCTCCCTCCTTCCACCCGACGGTGAGTCCCCTTCGTGCTGGCTGAGCTCAGCCTAGCGCGAAGGGGACTCACCATCGGGTGAGGGAGCCGATTTCTCCCTGGCCGCCCGGCTTGCTTCCGAAGCCAAAAAGGCAGGGAGAAAGCTCAGGAAGTTCGAACTTCCCGTGCTTTCTCCTTGCCTTTTTGGCTCCAGAGGTTTCAGAAGGCTTCCTCCGATGTCGAAGGAAGCCTTTTGGGTTTGTAACCCGATCTGCGTTCGCAAGTAGGGTTTACTACTTGCGATGAGATCGGGTTTGTAACCCGAAATGTTCGTAACTAGGGCCGTTCGTAAGTCGAGGGTCCACTAGAAGCATGAATCTCAAAGGTCATTCATCCTATACAAAAAATTTGGAACTGGGGTCAGAAGCCAGGAGTCTTAGAAGAATCTTGTGAGCTGCATTGTTTTTTCTTTTGTATTTTTGGGAGTATTGTATACTCAGATCATTTATAATTTGAAACTATAAAAAAAATACAACTGATTAAAATCAATAAGCAGTATTTTTCTTTCAGAGGAAACGAGCATGGCACACAGAACTTGCATCTTTTCCAGATGAGAAGCCTGTGGGGGGAGGAAAGAGAAATGTCATTGCTTCAGCGTCAGTTTCGAGTGCATGGCTGCATTGTGGTGATGGATTTCAAACAGCTTCCTCACAGGAGGTAAAATGAATGTTTGATGGCTTATGCTGTAGTTTGGACCTGCAGTATGCTTCTGAAAAGATATCGAGGGAATTTATGTTAAGATTTCCAGTGAGTTTATGGTTGCTTTATCTTCTGCCTTGTTAACAGCTTAATTACCAAAATCTCAAAGCAGTGCTTTCTTGTTAGGGTAATTTACACTTAATAAACTAAAGTTGTTTTTAATTGTTGAAAGGCAAAGAAAATATTTTTTCTTATTATACTAGTATTATTCTTTAAAATAATTAATTCTCAACTTGACCAATTAAAACTTACCTTTGCTGATTAAAAAAGGTCTTCATTCATTAGCTGTATGACTGAAACTTTCAATCCTCATCTTTGTATGTATTTCACATCTTATGATGAGTTTAGACAGGGCAAAACCATGGTAATCGAGAGCCCTCTTGAGTATGTGGTGTTCTCTATCTGAGAACTGGGAGTAGAGTCTGTTCTAGATAGGCTTATTATTTATTTATTTATTTTTTATTTATTTGATTTTTACCCCGCCCCTCTAGACAGCGTCTACTCGGGGCGGCTTACATAGGCTAAAACAAATTAAAAGAACATATAAATAACATATATAATACAATAATTATAATCAATATTATTCAAGATGGCTAAAACTCAAAAAAACAGAAGAAAAGGAAAGAAAAAATAACTTAGTTGACTGGGGGGAAGGCCTGTTTGAATAACCAGGTTTTTAGTTGGCTTTTAAAAGCACCCAGCGAGGGTGCCAGCCGAATTTCAGTGGGGAGTGTGTTCCACAGCCGAGGGGCGACTGCCGAGAAGGCCCGGTTTCTTGTTTTCTCCTTCCGGGCCTCCCTCGGCGTCAAACCCCTCAGCCGACCCCGCTGGCTATATCGGGTGATTCGGGTAGATCTGGGCCGGAGGAGGCGATCTGCCAAATATTGAGGTCCCAAACCGTTAAGGGCTTTATATGTGATCATTAGCACTTTGAAGTCAATGCGGAAACGAATAGGTAACCAGTGCAGTGCAACCAGAGTGGGGGAGATATGTCTGGGCCGGAGGAGGCGATCTGCCAAATATTGAGGTCCCAAACCGTTAAGGGCTTTATATGTGATCATTAGCACTTTGAAGTCAATGCGGAAACGAATAGGTAACCAGTGCAGCGCAGCCAGAGTGGGGGAGATGTGCTGAAATTTTCTCACCCCACTAATAAGCCTGGCTGCTGCATTCTGCATTTTACCTTTGTAAGCTATATGTATACCATGATCTTGTATTTTGACTAGTCTTCCTCCTGCATTTTTTCATTTTGTTTTCTTCCATGGTGTTTTTTTTTAACAAAAACAATTTTAACCTTTTTGGGGGGGAGTCTTTTGTGTTCCAAAATGTAAAATAAAGAAGAGGGACAATGCAGTTCTTTGCATGTACACTCAGGATATTCACTGTGGGGTAGTCAATAGACTGATGTACTAACAAGGCCTGGGATCAAATCCCCACTCAGCCATGGAAGCTCATTGGAGATGTGGAACTAGTAAAACCATTCCTGAAATATTTTACTTACCTTGAAGGCCCTATTAGGGTCACTGTAAGTTGGTTCTGACTTGATAATACATAGCAACAAGTGGATATAGGCTAGTAGTCTCAATAAATAAAGTAAATGTAATATAAGCAAATATTAAGTAATAGTTCTCATGCAGTTGAGTATTCATCTTACATTTAATCATTTTCCTTTTTAAAAACAGACAAAACGATTTTCCAAAAAAACTTCAAGAGCTGAAAAGTGCCTTACACCATTGCTCAATTCAGTTGAAGGTACATTATATATTTTATCATTTTGTGTTAGTAATATGAGAGATTTTGTTTGTATGACTCTTAAAGACTTTCCCCACAAGGTCATGACTCATACTGTGGTCTAGAATACATGTACTTAATTGTCTTTTTTCAGTTATAACCCTGTTCCATGCAAGTTCCTTATTATCAGAACCTGATAAAGTGGAAAAACAGAACTTTGATTATGACATAGATGGGGCAGTTAAACCCATGGATTTGTTCACAACAGTAAGCTTTGTATGCTTCTGCAGTGAAGTATAAGTCATATTGCAGACTTGTGCTAATTAAAGTTGGGTGTAAGTCTAATTTAATAAATTTAGGCTTACTTCCAAGCAAACGTCACAGATGCACATTGCCATTTACCTTGTGGAGGAATGATGTTTCTTCCAGGGAAAAATTGGAAAAACACTACATATGTGAACTGGAACAAAACTTTCTATAACAGAGTGATTCTTCTTGTTGTTGTTTAGTCATTAAGTTGTGTCCGACTCTTTGTGACTGGATGTTGGGTCAAATTCATGTTGGTAGCTTCGATGACACTGTCCATCTATCTCGTCCTCTGTCGTCCCCTTCTCCTCTTGCCTTCACACTTTCCTAACATCAAGGTCTTTTCCAAGGAGTCTTCCCTTCTCATGAGATGGCCAAAGTATTGGAGCCTCAGCTTCAGGATCTGTCCTTCTAGTGAGCAATCAGGTTTGATTTCCTTTAGAATGGATAGGTTTGTTCTCCTTGCAGTCCAGGGGACTCTCAAGAGCCTCGTCCAGCACCACAATTCAAAAGCATCAATTCTTCAGTGGTCAGCCTTCTTTATGGTCCAGCTCTCATTTCCATACATCGCTACTGGAAAAACTATAGCTTTGACTATGCGGACCTTTGTCGGCAAGGTGATGTCTCTGATTTTTAAAATGCTGTCTAGGTTTGTCATCACTTTCCTCCCAAGAAGCAGGCGTCTTTTAATTTCATGGCTGTTTTCCCCATCTGTAGTGATCATGGAGCCCAGGAAAGTAAAACTTGTCACTGCCTCCATATCTTTCCCTTCTATTTGCCAGGAGATGATGGGATCATTGGCCATTATCTTAGTTTTTTTGTTTTTTTGTTTTTTATGTTGAGCTTCAGATCATTTTTTGCACTCTCCTCTTTCACTCTCATTAAGAGGTTCTTTAATTCCTCCTCACTTTCTGCCATCGCCAAATAAAGTAGAGGCTGGTCATTTTTTTTTAAGTTCCTTTTAAAATTTCTGTTTCAATAAGCCAAGCCCATATTGTTTAGTGGTTATTACCTATAAACAAAACAAATTGTTTTAAAAGGCAGAGAGTTCAACACTTTGTCATAAATATTCTTCCTATTTAGAATTCTATTCTGATCTTTTCTTTATCTGTATCAGAACTTTGTGCAGTTTAAAATTATGGAAATATATAAAATACAGGTAAGAGATCTAACAAATTTGCAGTGGAACACTTCTGAAAACGAAGGATTGACTGGCTGCACACCATTACTGAGGGGAAGGAGATGCCAAAGTGTACCGACAATGCTTTCCCACACTTCAGGTAGGCTCTTTCTAGGTCCTCCTTT